AAACTTGGGAGGCAGAGGTTGCAGTGAGCTGAGATTGCCCCACTACACTCCAGCCTGGGCAACAGAGTGAGACTGTGTCATAAATAAATAAATAAATAAATAAAAACATGTATGGTCCAGATTTGGCCTGCAGGCCACTAGTTTGCAATTCCTAATATAAATCTTTATCTTCAAATGTGTTTTAAGTTTCTTTCCTTATATTCATGGACTTTCATTTTAGCAAGGTGAAATGGCTTGCATTTAGCAGGAATTAAATTTTTAACTATAGTATAGAGTAATATTGAGCAGGCAGGGCAGATATTTCTTTTGGTACATGTAGCTTCTTAACTATCTGAAATTAAACCATATGGCAGGAAGGTCCTGTCTCAAGACACAAGGGTAGCTTTATTATTGTTGTTATTCGATCATAATTTTAATTATATTGGCCAATATTTATTGACATGTAAGTTGATTTGTGTCTGGATATGTGTTTTTATGTGTGTCGTCAGAAATAAGTCTCATGGCATTCTCATCCGTCAGAATGAGCTGGGTGATACTGCAGTAACAAATCACATACAGTCTCTGTGGCTTAACACAACAAAGTTGATTGCTTGCTTCTTCTGTGTGTCCAACATGGGTAATCAGGGTGGCTCTGCTCATCTTTGTCACTCAAAAACCCAAGCTGAAAGTTTTATTTCAACAAGTGCTTCTGTCGTCACCAAGATACAAAAGAGAAGGAGGTAAATCACATACTGGTGCTAAAGCTTCTGACCAGTAGAAACACACGTAACTTCTGTTGACATCTGTTGACCCTAACATTTACTTAAAGGAACAAATGCCTGAAAATACCATTTTTAAATGGAAGAAAAAAAAAAGAATAGTTAGGAAAGACATGCTTTACCAAATATCAGAAGATATAATAAAGGCTCTAAAAACAAATCAGATATTTGCAGAGGAATAAACAAATCAGTGGAACAGTACATAGAACCCAGAAATAGATCCTAATATACATGAGGATTTAATACATGATGAAAACAATAGTTCAATTAAGTAAAAAAGGTGATTGTTTTTAAATAGTATAGAAAAACAAAGTTGAACTCATATACAAAAATAATTTCAGATGGATTGAAAACTTAGACATAAAAATAAATGAATAGAAGTTCTTTAAGAATGTACATATATGGGGATGTCTCTGTAAATAAGACAGTAAACCTAGAAGCTGTTAAAAATACATATATAAAAGAATCAGGCTTGCCCAACCTGCACCCTGTGGCCACATGCAGCTCAGGACAGCTTTGAATTTGGCCCAACACAAATTCATAAACTTTCCTGAAACATTATGAGATTTCTTTTGCAATTTTTTAAAGCTCACCAACTATCATTAGCATTACTGTATTTTCTGTGTGACCCAAGACAATTCTTCATCCAGTGTGGCCAGGGGAAGCCAAAAGATTGGACACCCCTCACAGATTTAGATATATTAAAATAAATATGTTTCACATAATGAAAACCAGACAAGTAATAAATTAAAAATATTTTAACACAGATGGGAAATACAATATTAATATATGAGCTCTTCCAACATACAGCCCAAAATAAAAAGAAAACAACTTACAGAGGAGCAAAACCAGGTAACCTACAGACTTGTGAGAAGGTGTCTAAACTCCCCATAATTAGAAAAATGGAAAATAAAGTACAATGAGGTTTAAACTCATCAGTCTAGTCATAATATCAGTGTGAGGATATCCATTTTGGTATGGGTGCTGGAGGAAGATGGTGTTCTCATTGCTGGTGGAAATAAGAATTACTACAATACTTTTTGGAAAACAACTGGGCAACATTTATTTTGTTATCATTATTCATTTGTTTAGACATAGGGTCTCACTTTATTGCCTGGGCTGGAGTGCAGTGGTATAATCATAGCTCACTACAGCCTTGACCTCCTGGGCTCAAGTGATCCTCCCTCCTCAGCCTCCCAAGTAGCCGGGATTACCGGCACTGGCTATGGGCAACATTTATTAAAATTAAATATCTATATCTCTTTGACTCAGAATTTACACTTCAGAAAATCTATCTTATAGCAATAGAAGTCCCAGTACACAGGGACACATGAGCAAGGGAGTTAATCTGAGCATTATTCAATGTAGCAGAAAACTGGAAACAAAGTAAATCATATACATCCATACAATAAATGAAGTAGAAATGAAAAATTTTGGAAAAAGATGTATAATATGACTCTGTTGTTCTAAAAAAAAGAAAGACCCCAAAAATCTATGTATATAGATTTTTGTACATATATATGCTTAGATAGGATTATATGAGCATAGATTTTTAAAATACTTGAAGATACATGCTAATTTTGTAGCATGGGTTAACGGCAGGGGTGGGGCAGCAGGAAAGGAGATGGGGAGGGAAGAGATTTACCAAAAGGAAAAAGTTTGCACATGCACACGTACACACACACACACACACACACACACACACACCCCAGCTTCTGTGCTATATCCCATCTATTCATCAATGCAGTGCTCACTTAACTATGATTTAGGCTTTAGACTGATGAAGGTCAATTGCTTATCCCAGCAAACTCTAGGAAGGACTTATATTGTTAACTACCTGATGCCAGCTGCCTCCCAGAGGTAGATGGCATCCATGTAGGCAGGTGAAGCTTCTCAATGCTTATGAAATGATACCAGTTTGGCTGTGTATTTGTTGGATCTCCAAAGTTTATGGCTCTGCAATCAACCAGACTCACTCTGTCTCTACTCTTCAGATTCTTGTCAGAGAAAATAACCTCAAACTCCCCATTAGCCACATGGGCAGAAAGCTATGCCAGTTGGCTGTCTTCAGATAGGAGAATGGCTTCATCATAGTTGCTCTTAGCTAATATTTTAATAATGATAGTTTAACTTAGGTTTGCTTCTAATTGATAAGTCTGGCAAACCTATCTGGGCAAAGGAAAGGAAGAAACCACTTGTTTTACAACAAAGTAGACTCAAGAAAGCTGTTGAACCTGCTTGGAGCCTGAAGGTTTATTAAGAATAGCCTTGCTGTAGCTACTAAGGAATTACTCTTCTTTAATCATGGACTTTACTACCCCTGCAGACCAATTTCAGCCTCTATTCAACCACCTTGTAAGCACAGGGACCTTAACCAATGAAGAAAATCATTTTCAGAAGTTTGAAGTTTCCATTCTTAGTGCAGATCATTGGGTATCTCCCAAGGCTGCCCAAGGTTCCAAAGTAGTACACAAGCCGGGGGAGGAGTTCACGGCTTTCTGATTTCTATCACTTAGCCCTTACTATGGACCTAAACTTCACAGCTATGCTAGTGAGACAGAGAAAACAGGTGACTAAGTCTAGTGCCAGCCCTGCGGTGCACACTCTGACTTGAGGCAAGTCACTTTTGCTCTCTGCAGCCCAGTGTTTTCTATGTACACTCCAATATAGGATCTCAGGGAACATTTTTCTTTTGTTTAATAGTACTTATACAAATTTGTATTTATATGCTTATGTGTATGATTGTTTAATTGCCTGTCTTCTCCATTAAAGCATAATCTATACAGATAGGTACAATATACTGTATCCCTAACACCTAACATGATGGCTGGCATGTACTCAAATTTGATAAAAATTTATCAATGTAATGAGTAAATAAATATATAAAATGAGTAAGATGACTTCAGAGTATCCTACCAGCTCTAATAGCATATGATTCTCTAAATGCAAAAAGCTTTTATTTTTAAAATTAGGTCATAAGTATTTCTTTGCCCAAACTTTGAGTAGATTAAGTGCCTAAGTGAACATGGCTCTGCTCTACACAGTTACTCTGGGGAAAAAAACCCCAAAAAACTGAACCGATTAAACATAGTTTCTACTATGTTTCATCTGGTTCCACCAAGTCTCATTTTGAAAGCTGACTTCCAGTGTTTGAGGTGGGGCCTGGCATGAGGTGTTGGATCGTGGGGTTGAATCCATCATGAATGGCTTGGTGCCATCCTCACAATAAACAGCGAGTTCCCACTCTTAGATCCCATGGGAGTTGCCCTGAGAGCTAATTGTTAAAAAGAGCCTGGCACCTTCCCCATCTCTCTTATTTCTTCTCTCTTGACATGTGGTCTCTATATGCTGGCTCCTCTTATTCTTCTGCCATATACCAGATACAGATGCTGGTGTCATGTCTGCAGAACTGTGAACCAAATAAAACTCTTTTCTTCATAAATTATGCAGCTTCAGGGATACTTTAAAGCAACACAAATGAATGAAGACAGTCCCGTGTATCTGAAAGCGTCATAAGATGCCATTTCACCCATAGCTTTGCCTCTTAGATGAACTACCGTTCATGCAAGATAGGTGTTTGTTGTGTGTCCTAAAAGATTTTCAATCTCCCTTGCTGTATTGTTCCTGGATCTTGAAATCGTAACAGTCACTGAAACATAGAAGGAAGAAAACTTAGAATTATCTAGTCCAGTGATTATCAAACTGTATTTTAGCAGAGGAACCCTATTTTGCAAAAAGAAATTTTACATAGAAGCCCAATATTTCCATTCCTAAATGTATGTCTATATAAATAGATACAGTTTGGAGAGAGGGAAGGAAGGAAGCAGGGGAAAGACAGGCAGGCAGAAAGAAAGAATCTACCCTTGTTGATGTGAGAAAGGAAATGGCAGAGCCCCCCCTGCAGGCTTGGTCTCAACCTCCCTGTTGGGCCATATTCCCCTCACTGCCCTCTCCACCTGCCCTGCCTGCCCCACAGTGCCCTGTAATGCACCGCTGAGACTAGTAGCCTATGAACAAGTTGAAAGCCATCAGTTTGAATGACTATTTCCTTTTAACAAAAGGAAACTAAGACTTGATGACTGAATCATATTGTTCTTTAGTATTCCAAATCCATTCTGCAAAAAGTAAACTGTCTTCTTTTGTTTTTTATTAGATTTTTCTGTACAGCCTTCCCTGAAGTAATTTCATACAAGTCAGATTATCAGTGTTCAGTATACTCTTCTTACAGTTAAACCATCATCATTTAACTTTATTCATATAATTTTATTTCAACAAAATTATTTTTGAAAATATAAAAATTTCATAAGCACTGCTTTCCTGTTAGATACAAAGTTTATTTTAAAAATCAACAATTATATTGACTTTTACTGTCACATATCTAAATTTTACTTGTGTTTATTATGAAGACAAAGAGGTGTATTAAAAGAGGATATCATTATACATTGTCAAATAAAGCAAGGTTTCCTTATCCAAATAGAATTTATATGTGATTACTTCATATGAAGCAAAAGCTATGTCTACCACAGAACAGACATGCAGTTATTGATCTAGAATTGGCATGATTACAAACTACTCTGCAATCCTTCCTCTTCCCAATTAAGGTGTCTCTCTTGAACTGATTGAAAGTTGTTTGATAAGTATACTTTTTTCAAGATGGTGTGCTCAGTTGGGGGTCTTTTTATTAAACTGAAATTCTCTCATTAGCTTTGACTAGCACCAGCTGCTGTATAAATTCTGTGTTGATGTAGACCCCCATTGGTGTTCCAGATACCGCAGGTGAATATCTGTCTGCCTCCAAAATCCTCAGCCATGCAGTATGAATAATTAACATCTGATAATGCAGAACAAAAAGGACTTTTATTAGAGGACTTCACAATTCCACCTTAACTCCTCAGAACAGTGAACCAAATAGGACTTTAGTTGTTTAAAAAAAAAACCCTGTTTCTAAATATCTCTATATTATATTTTTGTCTATACTTGATCACAAATGTTAACATTAAGACAGAGATTAAATGTTTTAGTCTTACAGCAAAATTAAAGACAGAATTCAAGCTGCAGCACATTTTAACTAATGTTTTTCTGAACGTTCTAATTCCAGATAAATTCAAAGCATTTAGGGCTCATGTCTGCCATGATTATTCTTTCTTCTAAATAGTTCACAGTCCATCACTTTTAAGAAAACCTTTCCTATTCATGAATCAAATATTATTTCTACGTGTATGATGTATGATGTAAGTACAGCACAAAACAGTTAAATGAAATGTCTTTATAGAGTTGAACTTAAAAACATCTACCTTGTGTGCGAGATGTGCCATGCAGGACTTTTCCTTAATGTATTTGACAGGTTTTAGCAGATAGATTTTTAAACTTGTCGAAGGACATGATAACTTGAACCCATGAAACAATGCAATACATTAAGGTAAAACATGCCATAATAGTGTAGTGGCTAAGAGCAAAACCTTCTGGAGATCAACTTCCGAGCCTCAGTTTCTCCTTCTGTAAATGAAGATAATATTAATAACAGGCTTATGACATTACTTGAAACACTAAGAGATCATGCATATGATAATTAGCACAGCACAGTGTACTTGTTCTCTATTTCTGCATAACTAATTACTGCATACTTTGCATACTTTGTGGCTCAAAATAACTATTATCTTACAGTTTCTAGGTAAGGGCATGGCTTAGATGGGCCCTCTGCTTAAGAGTCTCACAACACTGCAATCAAGGTATCACCTGGGCTGTGTTGTCATCTGGATACCTGACTGAGGAATAAACCCCTTTTAAGCTCACTCAGGTTATTGGCAGAATTCATTTCCATGCAGCTCTAAGACCAGGGATCCAGTCTTCTTTTTGACTGCTAGCTGGAGTCTGCCCAAGGTTCCTCACCAGGAGAGCTTCCTCAATATGACTGCTTACTTCATCAAGCCAACAAGGAGAGTGTCTAGAGTGACTCTACTAGCAAGACAGAGGCTTATGTTATGTAACACAATCACAGGAAGAACATCTCACCACTTTTGCCATATTCTGTTGGTCAGAAGCAAGTCCCAGGTCCTGCCTACACACAAGAGTGAACACACCAGGAAGCAAGGATCACCATTGGTCACCCTAGAGTTTGTGTGCCAAATATGGTTAGGTAAATGAATGGATAAATGGAAGTGTGAATGAGTGAATAAGTAAATGAGTAAGTGAATGTGTGAAGTTGGGTGTGATTTATAAGCCCCTTGAACAACAGAAAACATGGGAAATAGTTCTAAATACAGGATAAATAAGGTAATAGGCTCTAAGGTAACTACTCAATTGAAGTCATAACACAAGTATTAAACCTTTGTGAAGGTAATGCATTGAATAGTTATGGGGCCTGGGCTATAAGGCCCAGAGAATGTCAGAGTAAAATCTCAGGGATGGTGGGAAATAGAGACCCAAAAGAATATATAGGGCTTTTAGTTTCACTTTAAAGTGATAATTTTCTTACAAGTGGAGCAATGAAGAAATTGGAAATTAAATAAAATAGTCAAATATAGTTACCTAAAATTTTAACTTCTAAGAGAAATAACTAACAATAAATACAAAAAAAGTTAACACAAATGAAAAATAGAATTATCAGCACCAAGTATATGAAAATTTATTCAAACATACATGTGAACACTAACAATATTCCCAATGGATAAATGGGCAAAGGACATGATTATATGATTCATGGACAGGAAGTATGAATAGTAAAATAAATTTTAAAACAGTTTAATATGGATAGGGCAGAAGCCTCACAAAGAAAAAAAAATTAAGTACCAATCCAATCCATCTTATTTTACCAGCAGATAACTTTAAGATGAGAGGGTAAACAGTGAAATGAATTGCATTAGTATTATTCACCAAAACACCTGGCATAAGTTATAACTCACCCTGGATAGATGAATATTCAGTAATAATTAACTCTCAGTAGTCAGTGGTAGGAGAGCTAGTATGGATAACTGCAGTCACCAAATCATCAAATGATGATAGGACCACATTAATGTGAGGCAGCTAACATGGAAAAAAGCTATTTAGAACTCTTTTAATTTTACTTCTACCACTTTGGTAGCTGGAATACAGTAAACAGACCCCAGAAGAATGAGAAAACTAGGCAAATAGGCTGGATATGCCACAGGAAAAGAATCTGCCTAAGAACGAAGTCAGCGTCGCTACTTCAATGAACATTCTGATGAAAACACCTCGGCCTTGGATGACCTCCTTCTTGGTGACAGCGTCATGGGATGCAGCAGGGCTGTATGGACTGTTCCTGGACTCGGCACATAAACAGCGACACAGGTGGGTATCAGCTTTCCCCTCTCCCTCAGGCCTGTTCTGGGTAGACAGGGAAAATCAATTTTGGTGCTAGTGATGGTATGCCCGATATGTTTGTGTATGTGTGTCCTCAGGTCTCTTAAGGAGTAAGTTATGGCATGTCTCTTATCGTGGCCTAGAATGGAAGGAACAACAATTAAATGAATAATAGTAAACACTCACTAAGTATTTATTGTGGTTATTAATGTTGTTTTTACCTTCAGTGTGAGGGAGGCAAATAAAGATGAGTTTGTTCTTGGAATCTAGATGGGTTCTCTTGTGATATCAGAGAGGGCAGGCACCCATGGGACAGCTGCAGCAGAGGCGAGAGGAGGAGGCCCACAAGGGAGCCCAGCACCTGAAGATGATGATGGACAGCAGCAGGTGGTGTCTGGGAGGTCTGGGTTTTTGAACACAACTCCAGGCTGACTCACTGAGGGAGATCCAGTAAGCTCTTCAAACTAGTGCCACCTACCACCCCCACAGATTAAGGGCAGGATTCATTGGGGATCTCAGGCAAGGATAGGGGACAGAAGATGATATGGCAAAGGAGAGTCAAGAGGGAAATGGAGGAGTTTGCAGAGCCAAGTGAATACCTTTCTGTGGTCACAGTACTTTTCTGAGAGCAGCCATTTGTTGTTATGCTCTGGAAGAGAGGAAATATATAACAACAGAGACCCTCATAGAGAATGAGCAGATCACACATTTGTTCCTTCCATTTGTCCGGGTAAGATGTCCCAGCTTGTCCTCACTTGCCTGCTCCCTTCCCCCATCTACAAAATAAATGTACTTTGGTTCTAATATTTGAAGTGCAATTACCCTAAACACATTTGGAGGTCTATCCGTGGGGCATTTTCAATAGTTCTTGTCTGCATTTGGTGAATCTTCACATAGGTATATCTTCCTTGGAATGTAAATTTTTGGAATGAAGAGATCAGAGCTATATAGTTCTCTGACCAGTGAACTTATAACACTGTAAGCAGTTAGATGATTAATATTTTTAAGATGAAGAAGATGATGCTACTTATAAAATGAGATTCATAAAGCCATTCTTTTTTGTTGTAATATCAGGACTTGAAAAGTTAGTATTCTGCTGGTGAGTCAACAGTATCACTTCTAGTTCTTAATGTGAAACTAGCTTTTGTATTCCTCTTAAAATGCTTACCATTGTAATCCCACTTCTAGAAGCCTCAGGCAGGGAAATAATAAACAATGTGAGCAAAGATTTATGTGTAAAGACATGAGCAGCTAGATGCTTAATTATAGGGAAATGGCCAGATGAAGCTTGATACAGCTGTAAGATAAAATACCTAGCAGTTGGCTGAATGTGGTGTTTCATACCTGTAACCCCAACACTTCCTGAGACGGGTGAATCATGAGGTCAAGAGATCAAGACAATCCTGGCCAACATGGTGAAACCCTGTCTCTACTAAAAATGCAAAAATTAGCTGGGTGGCTTGTACCTGTAATCCCAGGTGCTTGGGAGGCTGAGGCAGGAGAATCACTTGAACCCAGGAGGCTGAGGTTACAGTGAGCCAATATTGTGCCACTGCACTCCATCCTGGGTGACAGAGCAAGACTCTGTCTCAAAGGAAAAAAAATATCTGGCAGTTATCAAAATTATAGTTAATAATTTTAACAAGAAAATAGTTAGGTTAAAATAGCAAGTAAAAGAACATGCAGTATTTTTAAAATTATATTTTTCCAAAGCATAGAAGTAATTGGAAAGAAACACACCAAAAGAGGGCGTAAGGAGGAGGGCTTGTACGGCAGAAAAATGTCTTAGAGGTGAGCAGTGAGGAAATGAGATGTGTCAAACAGAATTAAGGAAAGGAGAATTCAGTTTTTTGAAAACCATGTGCAAGCAGCGAACTAAGCATTTAATAATTCTGGTTAATAGTTAAAGATAAGTATTGGAATAAGGCTATGAGGAGAAAAGAGCCTTTTTCCACAATGAACAGAAAGCTCCCATCTTGGCCTAGCTAAAAGAACGGAAAGCTAGGATACTCTGAAGTCTGAATGAGCACATGAGATGACTCCGGTGTGGTTAGGAGCCCATCACCTCTGCTGAGCAGCTAAACATAACAGTGAAAGTGAGAGGTAAATGCTGCAAATGAAAGGGAGGAAATAATGAGGGGATTAAATGCAGAAACCCACACTTGGTATAGAGCACTGTTGTGAGAGGATAAGTGAGTAAGCCCATGTAAAGCATTATGGCCTACCAGGCAAGGTGGCTCACGTCTGTAATCTCAACACTTCGGGAGGCCGAGGCGGGTGGATTGCTTGCGCTCAGGAGTTCAAGACTAGCCTGGGCAACATGGCAAAACCCTGTCTCTGCAAAAAATACAAACATCCCAGGTGCAGATTTCCATAGACTCAGTTCTGGTTCCTTGGAGGAGAGAATGGTACATAAAAATCAGAAGACACATCTTCACCCAAGTCTCTGAGGCTTTGGCAAGCCAGGCAGTATTGCTTTGGAAATACCTGATGGAGAGAATAAGTAGAAAGAGGCATTCTTCTTCACTGTGGCGTGAACTACTGAGCAACATTGGCCCATCCATGCTCTGGGGTACTGGTAGTAGTGTCAGACCTTTCTACTGACTCATCTTAGCAATGCTTAAATATGTTCTTCCTCTCCTACTCCTCTTCCAGCTCCTCTGGAAATTCCCCTACTCTGTCCTCCCCTTCAAAGCCCAAATTCTCTAAGTACCCATGGTCATTTCCTCATGCCCACATTCTCCTCAGCCCATTACCACTGGGCTCATGTGCCTACCTGCTTTCTAAAGCTGCTTTCACCAATGGTTCCAGGGGCCTCCTCATTGATAAAATTCATTGCATACTTTCTATTCCTTCCCTTATATGACTTTTTGGCCACTTTAACCTCTGAGATCCAGTTTTAGAGTTACATGACTAGCTACTTAATGGACATCCCACAGCTTCATTAGACCTCGAGTTCAGTATATTCTAAGCTTACCTCATCTTCTTTCCAAAGCTACTCTTATTCCATGTTCTTATTTCAGCAAATAACACTATCACCAAAGCTGGTCTTTTTTCTTTCCTTCACCCCCAAAATACACTTGGCCACTAAACCCCTATGCAGTGTACCCCCACCTGCCTCTCAGAGCTGATGTGTACTGTTCTCCATCCCTGTAGTACTAGGCTCATATCACCACTCCCTTGATAGCCTTGTCACAGGACTTCCCTACCCTTTGTCCCTCCACTGCCCTACCACCATCTCTCATCTGGTCCCTGGAATGCAGACCAGGGAATCTTTCTGAAACACAAGTCTGATTATGTCAGTCATCTACTTAAAAATTGTCCATGGTTTTCCACTATCCCTAGAATAAAGTCTCAACTTCTTAACATGGCTTAGAAGATCCTCTCCAAGTTTCATCTTCAACACATCCCCTTCCGCATGCCACACTCCAGCAATACTTCTTGCTGTTCCTCCAGTATAAGAGTTCTCCTCTCTCTAGCCGTTTCCAGTGCTTGAAACAGATCTGACTTTTCTTCTTGCTAGGTTCTTCCACACCTTTAGACCTCAGCTTATGTCACTTCCCCCGGAAAGGCATTCCTCAACTCCCAGTTCATGTTAAGTATCCTCCTTCTGGGCATCCACTGTATTACAAATGCCTTTAAAATGGCCTCTATTTAACCAGCTCGATACATGTAATTTCTTGTTAAGCACACTGACTACAGCCCTGCCATCCCCAAGGCTCAAAGCTGATAAGCTGCTCTCTATACACGCATCTTACTACTGCTCTCACCAGGTGAATTCCATTGTTTGCCTGCCAAGAGTCAGATGTGCTTGATCTAAATTATTTTACAGTTTTACTTATTGTTGTAGCTATGTTATTTGAGGAAATCTTATGTAAATTCATAAAATATGAGTATAGAAAGTTGTTTCTATAATGTACAAAGACAAATGTAAGCTTCTAAAAGTTGCTCTCATTGATGTAAAGTTGTAAATGGAAATAAATCATTAAAAATCTAAAAAGATTCTGCTCTGACATACATTTGTCAGTATCTAAGTTCTTGCTCCAATTTAAATAAATTAAAATAGAAATAAAACATGTATATATGTTATGGATGTGTTTTATGTCAGAAAGATAACCTGGGACTTCCATTATTGGACATAATTTCAGGAAAAGTCCTTAGTCTTGCATCAAAAGATTGGCAAAATAATATACTTTTTTTTTTTTTGAGATGGAGTCTTGCTGTGTTGCCCAGGCTGAAGTGCAGTGGTGCAATCTCAGCTCACTGCAACCTCCGTCTCCTAGGTTCAAGCAATTCTCCTGTCTCAGCCTCCTGAGCAGCTGGAACTACAGATGCATGCCACCAGACCCAGCTAACTTTTTCTATTTTTAGTAGAGATGGGCTTTCACTATATTGGCCAGGCTGGTCTCAAACTCCTGACCTCGTGATCCACCCACCTCAGCCTCCCAAAGTGCTGGGATTATAGGCAGGAGCCACCACACCCAGCCTATACATTTATATTTTTTTATTGAAATGAAATTCATATAACATACATACAATTAACAATTCAAAAGCCAATGGCATTTAGTGCATTCATGATGTTGTGCCACTACCACCTCTGTCTAGTTTCAAAACTTGTTCATCATCCCAGAAGAACGCCCTGTACACTAAGTAAACACTCCTCATTCCCCTGCTCCCCTGTCTCCTGGCAACCTCTAATCTGCTTTAAATTGAAATAGAACAATTAAGGCATGTAGATAACATTTTTAATGACCCCCTACTTTGCTGACTTTTTGGACGAGTCTATTAACTATTATCATTCAAGTTGGATGAGTGGGCATCTGCGCGTCTGATTTCCTTTCAGCTCTGTATTAAAATTATTCCTTTAGCTACCTCACCTGCCTCCCAGACATTGCATGCTTTGCAGGCAGGGGCATGTTCGAGCTGTTTATCCATGGGTCTGTAGTACCTGGCACAATGCCTGGTACACCGTGGGCTCCATATTTGTAGGGTTAATTCAGATTACCCAGAAATTAAGCAATATATCCAAGGACATTAATGGCGAATCACAGTTTAAGCCTAAGTCTTTCTCACAGCACACTAAGCAGAAAATGAGACCTGTCTGGGAGGTGAATTGAGGCAGCAGTCATATTAGAGTTAATTCTGAGAAGTGCTTACTATGTGCCTGGTACTGTGCTGAGCTCTTAACAAGTATTATACTGTTTAATCCTCATAACAACCCTACAAGATCAATATTATTATTAACCCAGAAATTCTGGGGAGGGGGTCAGAGATACCTGAATCCAATTCAAGTATCATAGGACACCAGAGGAAGGCTGTGAGTTCAAAAATAGTTTAGTTAAATGACTGGAAAGGACAATCATTTTATTTAGTAACAACTTTTAGGACTGGTTTTAGAAAAGAGGAAGTCGGGTCAGATGTCTGAAATGGAGCCCTCTCTAGAGTTTTTGCCCTTCTCCACACACAGACACACACATGCAACACACATATCTTGGGTTGTGTCTCACAAGTGCTTGGTTATAACTCTTGTAAAAGATGCCACTTTCATGCTTTTGTTTTGCTCTGTTGATTACTGAGTCCTACAGGTACAACTGTGTCTACTGTAAACTGGAATACTTCTAGATCCCACTGCACTCCAGGGATCCACCA